ATATATATATATATATATATATATATATATATATATATATATATATATATATATATATATATATATATATATATATATATATATATATATATATATATATATATATATATATATATATATATATATATATATATATATATATATATATATATATATATATATATATATATATATACTCATACATGCATCTTCTTCTAGTTTACAAGGTATTCTAGGGAGTAAAAACCAAAACGAAATCAAATTACAAAGTTGCCCATCACCTTCATCCCTTCTTCTAAGCATACCCATAATTGAACTACACATAGTCATTTTTAGATTGGGTGACCATCTAGATCATGTTTGATAACATACAATTAGGTTTGGTGTAACCGAAAATATTGAGTTGAGAACTTTGTGTGTTTCAAATAAGAAAACCAAGGTGGGGTTTTCCTTCTAGATCGATGTGGTTTGAAGGTTTTGGATAAGATCACGTCAACACAGATTCAACCGAGTGAAGGCCTTAGGACAAGGTGGTTTCCTTGCAAGGGAGTAGCGCGAGACGGTGAATTGTGTTTGGCAATCTTGGGTTTCAACAAGTTGCGTGCTCGGGATAATTGGAGGATTGTAGCTGCAATGTTGGTCGCTTAATCAAGCTTTGATCAAGGGTTTGGAGGTGCAAAAATAAACACAAATTATAGGGATTTTTGGGGTTTGAGTTCTTCATCTCTTATATTAACATTTTTGCAAAGTTAGGGTTAATTACAAGTATCTCAATTCAATTTCGGATTGAGGGCAGATGTACCCATAGCGAGGCCGACTGGGAAACATCCTAAACAAATGTTTATGTCTCTTTATCGCTTTAGTTTTCTTTAATTATTCTTTGTGCAAATTATCAATTTCGTTGTTGTTTCGATTAATTTGATTAGAGATTATTTTCAACTTTCTTTTAAATTTTTGTTATTGATGTAATCACAATAACTTTGATTGTGATTGGCTTTTTACATCAACAAAATAAATCGAATTCCAAACGTGACCAATCGCACCGAAAGTATTCGATAAATTGTTTGTGTGTATTTTTATCACTTTGTGTTCATTGGAAATAAGCATTATGAATAGCTTTTCATTTGATTGATCTGTTACTTGATAATTGTTGAATGATTTGTATTTATTATCATTCCAAAAGGTTTACATTGCGCATATAGCTTTTTGATAGTAGATTAGGTTAGACGATTCGATCCGGGTCGTTTTTCTGCTGTGCCATATTTTTGACAACAGATTTTTGCCAAAAGTTTTTTGGTGTAAAATTTGTGATCTATTCACCCCCTCTAGATTGAAGCCTATTGTCTAATAATATTTAGTTGTTTTGTTTTGGTATGTACTATGTACAATGTGTTACTAGGAACTTGTATATTTTAGTACCAAATTTGCAACCATGTATGATATGGAAATTCTAGACATATATTGTATGTGGGTTTTACAGCAAGCAAGCTCTCAACCTCACAACAACCTTAAAGGCTCTAGAGACCCTTAACCACCAGAGATGGTCACACATTTGTAGTTTTAGCAAGTACGGATCCTTTTTATGATTTGAATCAAAATCTATATGATTCGAGTTAGACTTTCCAGTAAATTGAATCAAACACACATAAGCAAAAACCTATTTTTCAAAACTATGTTTGTTTCGAGTTAGATTTTTTCATGATTCAAATCAAGTCAGTCTAATCAAATTTCTGATTTTCGGAATTCAATTTGATTTGAGTCACCCAATCTCATGATTCGAATCAAACATCAAAGATTTCAAATTTTAACAAAAATGGAGTGTTATTCTGAATCAAGACTTGACACAATTTGAATCATGCTATCGCGTGTTTCTTGATCCAAATCTATGACTAGTTGACTAGAATTATACTATGTAGACTTTAACCAAATGGTTTTATTTATGTATGCATAAAAACAATTTAGCACTCAACCATATAATGTGCAACTATGTGAAGAGACTCAGTTACGGAAAATAATATAAAATACTAAGTTGACAAGCAACTAAACATAAGCAGGTAATCTTAGAAGGCATAGCAACTTCATTCAATTGTAAAATTCCCCAAGTGTACACAAAGGTGGCGACACTTCCCCTTAGTTTAATGAAGAACCAAAACAAAATAGTAATTTTTAAAAATCAGGAAACTTTTTATTTTTTAGAGGGATTTTTAAAAAAATAACCCAAATGAAAAAGGAAAAAAAAGATATTAACCTTTAACTTGTTGTATATAATATATGAGATTGCCTTTCTAATTTTAACATAGCTACACTTGCCTTCGAGTTCACTTTTTACTCAATAGAAGCTCGAGTGAACGCATTTTCATTAGTTGTGGTGGGTTTATTCTCAAACATACCATGAATGAAAAATGAGAATGAATTGTGATAACAACAAATCAAATATTGTAAATAAAAGTCACGTGCAAAGATGTGAGTCTTGCTGCTACCATTATACATATGCATGATTTTCTGATTGTGCCTCAAAATCTATTTCAATAAAGAAACTAGGAGGAATATGTGGCATAACTACATACTTCGCCATGTTAGTTGACGTGTAGAATCAAAAGTAAGTATTGTTGTTATTCATATTGTTGATGATGTTTTCGTGTTCAGCCATAACTTTCTCTAGTTAAGGAGATGTTGAAGAAATTGAAGTAGAAGTTCCCTCCTATTGATTCCTTTGCTTGGCTAGTTGTTTGCGTTTTTTTGGTTTTGCTATTGTTTCTTCAGGAAGTTATTTCGATCTCAGGATCAAAAGTAATTGATCTTCCGATGTTTTACCTTACATAAATAGAATTTACAAACCTATCCAGCACAAGTGAGCAATAGGATGGGTATACACAGACACACACACCCACACCCCCCACACAAGATTAACAATTGCAAAATTGATTAAATAATAAAAATTATCGCTATGCCTGCAATACCTAAACACTAGTCCCCTAACAACGACGCTATTTTGATGCGTAGTATCAAAAGTAAGTTTTTATCGTATCCACATGGACTAGTGTCTTATTACTATCATTCAACAGTTAATAGGGTTTTAAGTGAAGGGTTTACAGGATATTTGATTACAGAATTTAAAGGAAAGTAAAATGGTAAATGCTTAAGAAAATGAACAAATAGATAAACTTGTCGGGATTAGATTTCATTAACCTATTTCGCATGTATTCTTCTGATCGGTTATATAAATCCTAGTTATTAATTGTTATTATCAAGTATCGCTCACTGATATCATTTATGTCTAAACAATGGCGTGGGATCGATCGTATTGTTTAATCAACGATCTCTCATTCTATTAATCAATACAGTAGCATTAAGAATCGATACAAGGAGTGAATATCAAATTCAAATTTTTTTCAAGAATTTAGATTTTAATAGATGATTATCTTAAGTCATGATTCGAAAGGTTTTTCTCAATAACGATTTAAATCCATACAAGTATCATTTAAATAAAAATAAAATCAATATTAATTCATAACTAGTTTATACAATAATGATCAGAAAAGATACATACGATTACGGTTAACTACGTCTAATCCCAACAAGAGAGAAGTTAGCTACTCATGGTAGATTAGTACAAGTGAGAAGAATGGAGATGAATGAGCATCAATCTTGATTTCTCAGTGATTGTTGCGTATCCACCTTCAATTCCTCAAGATCTAGTTTCTCTCTTCCGACAATCTGAAAAATGCTAAAAGATGGTAAACATCCTTATTTTGATATTCTGAATTGTATATATACAGGTCTTTAAATCACACTCTCGCTCAGCGCAACCCACTCTTGCTAAGTGCAACAACCTTTCTCCATCATGAAATAATTTGACACGTCATCCTAAACTGTCTTACCTCGCTTAGCCCCAAAAAGTTGAGCTAAGCGAGCTCTCGCTACAACCATGCTTAGAGTGCAACTTTCTGGATTTTTCTTTCTTTGCTTGCTTCAAGCATGCTGAAAGTGCGCTGCGTGATAGAAGCACAACTTTCCGGATTGTGCTTGCTTTGCTTACTTCAAGCACGCTAGGAGCACAACTCTCTAGAATCTTCTTTCTTTGCTCGCTTCCAACGTGCTGAAAGTGTAACTTTGGAATTCTTCTTTCTTTGCTCGCTTAAAACTCGCTCAACGCGCCTGCTAAAGATTTTCTTCTTTGTTTTGTTGACCAACTCTTGTCTTGAACAAATACATATAAAATGAGTTGGATTTTGGTAAAAAAAATAAATAAATCAACTGTTATCCTAACACAACTGATATTTACATTAAAGATGGAGTTTTTATACTCTTAACTTGTAAAACAAATTAATAAGTGCACTAATTTTCATGTGTCTATATACCACATTTTGCCACTTTATCATCAATCTCTCAAAGATCACCTACTACTTTTTCACTAGTGTGAAAATATAAATAACATTGGAGATATTATTACTAAGTTATTAAAAAATAGGTGTAAAATCTTTATGCAGTGACAATTTCGTAAATACAAAATCTATTTAATTTTAATGTAAAATCTTATCAAATTTGATAAAAGTTTTTTTTTTCTAAAATTTGTTTTTACTTCATATATAATACACTCAAGGTTTTAAATCATGGTCAGACTCAAGGTTGCGGCCGCTTTAATAATTTCATGACTTTAGAAACTAATTAAGACCCGTGGAGAGCAAAAGAAAGTGAAAGAAAGAAAAATCTTGAGAATATAATCTGAGATAATATTGTGTATTTAATTATGAATATAATCTGGAGTACAATTGTGATATATAGTGGAGTTGTGTATAACTATAAGATATATATATATATATATATATATATATATATATATATATATATATATATATATATATATATATATATATATATATATATATATATATATATATATATATATATATATATATATATATATATATATATATATATTGTACTATATTTTACTAGCCCAATAAAAACTAAGGAAGAGTGATTCTCTTTGACTCATGGATACAACTAGGTGAAATATGCTATATAGGTTGGATTTGCAAATTGTTTTCTTCATCATCATTTGTAGAAGATTTTGGTAATGATGTGGACTCCTTATTGAAATCAGATGTAATCTCTTGAATGGGAGGTGGATTGATAATAGTTCCATCACTATTTGTGTTATCAGATAGATGATTCCTCATCTCTCTATGCTCTTGGCATATAGCACACCAATGCAAACAACAATGTACCATACAAGGATCACATGGTGAATCCTGGTAAAAAAAAGTACAGTGTAATGTTGTGATTCTATCAAATTCACTGTGAATCCAAACATGCACGAAACATAAACAAATTTAGTAAATAAAATCACCTTTAGATGATATTGTTTTTGAAGAGCTTTTCGAAAGATACCGGTATAGATACCACACATCCACCAAGTGAAAAAAAGGCCTTCAGCAATGAGACATGATGTCTCAGGATCAATTCCATTGAGGAATGCTGTTGCTACAGCAAGGGCCATTCCACCTTCTACACATATTGCATGACAAATACATGCACTGGTCCAAGGAATGTCATCTTTTAGTGTTTCAGTATTTTTTCCAAATAAAACACATGGACAAAATAATCCAGTCCAACCTATAACACAATTAAAATGATACATAATAAACGTCTAGATTCTATTACTCATAATTTGGTGATGGAAAAATAGGAAAAATCTTACAGCTATCAATATCGCTGAAACAACCACAAATTCCAGTTGTCCAATCTTCATCAGCTGGAGGTTGGTATGTTTCAGGTAAAACTTGTCCACATTCAAGACATCTACGAGCATTTAACTGTAAAAAGATAATATAAATCATTAATATAACTAAATTTTCTCAATTATCCACCACTCCGTTTCAAAATGACTGCACACAAATTAAAAAATTTAATGATATTGTTATAAGATATTACAATTTTACTACATTGAAGAGTAAGAACTATAGTCATTTTTTCTTTAAACGACAGTTATTTTGAAACAGATGGAGTAATCTCGTAATCTAGAGAAAGAAAATAAATTATTTACAAAATATTTTTACTCAAAAAAAATATGAAATTTCTACCCTGTCTCTGCCTACAAAATTTACTTAAATTCTTAAAAAAGCTTTTTACAATACATAATGAATCATTATATATATGATAAGGTTCAACCTATAAATATATGATAACACATGCTCAAACTTATAGTCAAATTGTACATTTAGAACTTGCATCATCAATTTAACTCCATGTTTTTTATTCCACAATGTACTTAAATCTAAAATTGAACAATTTTTAATTTAACTTTTTTCTTCTTCTTTTGTTTCATCCATTTGAAAAATCCATAAAGATGTCTATTAATCACATCAAACAGATCTTAAATCTCAACAAAAATGCTTAAAATAAGAAATTAAAAATAAATAAAAAAGTAAATTACTTGTGGCACATCAATGGGTTGGTTAAGCTCTCCCGGAGTAATATCCCTAAATGGCGCTTCTTCTTTACTTTTGGTCAACTTCACATACCTTGACCCTTGGTCTCCCATGTAATCACCAGTTTTGATTATAACACAAAATTATACCTGAAGAAAACAGCATTTAAATATTTCAAATGATTATATTAAATATAGAGAAAAGACTAAAAATAATAATAAAAAAAATGAAACTCACATATACATACAAATATACAAATTTGGATCCTCTTTCACAATGCAACAAAAAATTTCATGTGTAAAATGATGGTATATATGGGGTGATATGTTTGTTTTTGGGAAAGGATCTGAATCCTATATACACAATCAATTTATGATATATTATGTAAGAGAGAAGAAAGATAAAAGAAAATATGAGAGTGAAACAATGGTGAGATATACCTTAAATGATACAAAGAGATGATCTATATCTAAAAGTGTTGAAATTTGAGGGGGAAGTGTTTTGATGTAATTGTTGTAAATCTTGTTCTTGTTTCAATTTCCAGAACTATTTCTCAAGCATCAATTAAATAACATGCATGTTTTTTAATTGTTGTATATGTTTTTAGATTTAGTGTTAAAATATGTTACTTTCTATAATTGGAAATTGCGTTAAAATTGAGATCAGGGTAAGGTATAAGCAATTTCTATGGTGCGAGGCCACTTCATAACTTCCACCATAGGACACCACATTTTATTATTTGGCTAAAATATGCATTGAATCATATTATTAATTTTAAATTTAATTGTAATTTTAATCCCTCTATTTTGTCTTATTTTAAATTTTAGTCACTTCATTTTAAAAATTATATTTTTGGTTTTTTTTTTAAATTTTATTTTGGATTTTAATCTCCTTTCTAATTTAAGGTCAAAATTTAATGACATGGCAATTAACTTGATGATGTGTCAATGCTACATTTTGAATAAATAAGTTTGTCATTTTTATTAATTTTTAATTATAATCATTTTTTTAAAGAATTAGAAAAATAAAACAATTTATAATTAAGAAACTAAAATTTTAACTCTCAAAAGATTCAAATCCACAAGTCTTTAGATGTTGACATAGGATGTCTGTCACTCAACCATTATACTTTAGTTATTACGCAGAAGCAATAATATATTATGATATGGAGCTTAGTAGAATAATGTATCATTAGTTAAATAAGCTTTATTAGTATTTTGATGTATTAGGAATTATTTTAGATTATTATGTTTTCTAGAATATTCTTAGGACTCTTAAGATTGAGACACTTGGATGGTTAACATTTATTTATAATAGTATATAACAAGTGTATTATTCACTCTTGTAATTCATCCATCAATAAAATCAAAAACTTATCTTTTATTATCTTTTATTATCTTTTATTTTTATTAGTCATTTTAGTGTTCTTCCCCATTTATTGTAGAAACCCTAGTTTCGTAGTTTTGATAGGAAAAAACTCCCTATCAATTGGTGCTTTCATCTTGAATTTCAATCCTTCCTTTCATGGCATATCCATATTGTTATTCCTACACTCCATATATTCCATATCAACAACAACAACACATCATTTCTACCTCACCTCAACAATCATCTTCCACCTTCCATGAACATTCAAGTTATCATAGCTACCAACCTCAATCTCAAAATTTCTATTCACAACTAGAAAATCTAAAACAATATTTGATTGAAACTCAAAAAATCGAAAATGAATATAGAGAAGAGTTGAAGGAATTGGTTCAAAATTTTGGTTGCTCTCTCAAAGCATCACAACTTTCTTATAAGAAAAAATCTTCAGTGAAAAAACAACCAGAACAACAACAAATTAAACATATTGTTGAAGAATAAATAGAAAAAGAAGGAATCGAAACAATTTTTATTCACTGAGAATAACTCAGAGAGCATCTCCGACGAAACTTCCTGTGTCTTCTCCGACGACATTTTCGGCGAGTTTTCTGACATTACCGAAACCATCAGATCTGCGACCTTCTTCAAAGCCACGAGACGTTGGTCGATCAACGATAGTACCACCACTACCCCTGACCTCCGACAATGATGAACACACCTTCTCTGGAGACATTTTTTACATCTTGGTTTTCGATCCCGGAGGTGGTGAACACCCATTTTCCACCCTAGAGTTCACTTAACCACGTTCTATAAATTCTATGTAAAAAGAGTGATTTTGTTCATTAAATGGGATTAGTAATTCGATTGATGTTGGGAAAAGGGAGGAAAAAAACAAGAAAGAAGAAACACAGATTTTTGCAGAAAGAGAAACAAGAAGGAAGAAAGCGGAAAGAGAATGGAGGAAAAGAAAAAAAAATATTTGTTGCTACACGCGCATAATTTGTGCATCCTACCCCATCAATAACGTTTCTTTTCAAACATTTTCAACACGAATGGGACCCACGAGAAAGCCTACCCCCTTTACCAAATGTTAGCCCATACTCAATACCACACCACTAAATATATACTAGAACTAGTACTGCTATTGGCCCACTCAATTACCGTGTCACTAAAAATCACTCACACACCACTTTATTTCAACATATCATCTTTTAGTTATTTACATTTTTTCACAACTAAATAGGCATTTAGATGAAATAAAAAAAAATTGGGTCATTTCTTTTTATCATTAGAACCTTGAGGACAAGGTTCAAGTGAACCTGGCAGCAATAACATGGAGCTTAATAGAATAATTTATCATTAGTTAAATAAGCTTTATTAGTATTTTGATGTATTAGGAATTATTTTAGATTATTATGTTTTCTAAAATATTCTTAGGACTCTTAAGATTGAGACACTTGGATGGTTAACATTTATTTATAATAGTATATAACAAGTGTATTATTCACTCTTGTAATTCATCAATCAATGAAATCAAAAAGTTATCTTTTATTATCTTTTATTTTTATTAGTCATTTTAGTGTTCTTCCCCATTTATTGTAGAAACCCTAGTTTCATAGTTTTGATAGGAAAAAACTCCCTATCATACTACATTTAATAAAACATCATTGTTTCGACAGCTTCAAATTGTTCCTCTTCCTTTTCTTCATCGTCTTCTCTTTTCACTTAAACACATATTGTTCAAACAAAACAAAAACAATTGGGACTATGTTGTTTCAAACACACAAAAACCCACTCATCATCATTTTTAAGATAAAAAGTTCACCACTTCTAACCTGTGTTTTACTCAAAAATGTTAAAATTATTATCAGAGATTTCATGGAAAAAAATCACTTATTAAAAAATTCAGAAGTGTTGCCTCTCTTATGAGTTTTCAGTATCATGATTGCTTTGTTAATATTCCATCAAAATTCAATCTTTTTATTCTATTTTTTCTTTAGTCAATTTTTTGGTGAATTTAATTAATTTTGTTGATTTGATTGAATAGTTTGTTGAATTTGTATAGGGGTGAGATGTTTAGAGAGAAATTAAATAGTTAAAAAAATTTGTGTTGCTTGATGATACACTAACGATGCTTGGAGAGAAATTGACCCTTTCAAATTTGATGTTACTTTTCATAAATCATTGATTTGAAAAACACAAACAGTTTATTAAATTCCTATTATTATGTTTTTGATTAAACTGTTATGAAAGCAACATCAAGTTAACGTCTATGCAATTGTTATATATTAATGTTGTATAAATTTTTTAACTAAGCATTGGTAGTTCAGTAGTAAAATATTTTCTCATCATTAAATAAGTCAAGGGTTCAAATTCTTGAGAGTTAAAATTTTGGTTTCTTAATTTTAAATTGTTTATGTTTTTAATTCTTTAAAAAAATGATTATAGTTAAAAATTAATAAAATGACATGGACTTATTTATTGAAAGTGTGACATTGACACATCACCAAAGTTAATTGTCATGTCATTAAATTCTGACTTTAAATTAGAAAGGAGACTAAAATTCAAAATAAAACATAAAAAAGGGACAAAAACGTGGTTTTTAAAATAGGGAGACTAAAATTATAAGAAACAAAACAAAATAGAGAAACCAAAGTTGCAATTAAGCTATATTTTTATTTATGATAATATCTCAGATTGCCTACACCAAAATTCTATCTTTGATATGCTCAAATATTTTAAACCTCTCGTCTTTTCACTACAACAAGATAAGTTTGATTTAGCGTTGCTCCCAAGGGAAATACTAATTTGTAAAGAAATTTTTAATGTGGCTAGATATGCTAATTAATTGCGCCTAAAAATTGTAAAACATAAATTTTGTTATAAATGGGATGAATATATAAAAGTGGATTCTATATTAATTTTTTATTCATTACATATATCTTATAAATAACGCTCATATTATATTTAAAAGATACACTGACAATGCGAATAATACCATACTATTTCTCTCTTCTCTTTCTGTTCATCGTCTCTACTCTTCTACTATATTACTTCATATTAATTTCATAACACGTTATTAGCAAGAAACTCTACTATATGAATGTTAACTAATTGTCTAAGAAGTGATACGAATAATTTGATAATGAAACTCTAACTATATGAAGCTCCAAGATTTAGAAGGTAACATTATTATTTTTTATTTCATTGTATAGATTTGTAATTCTACTTATTATGTATCGATATATTGATTAGAAAAATAAATCAACAATGATTTTCATGCATCCCAGAAGAATTGGATGAATAATGTTAAAATATCTCTAAAAGACTATAAAATAATAATGTATAATATAGTTTCTTAAGAACTTATCAAGCATCCCTGAAGGATAGTGATATAATAATTTATTATATAGTTTATGAAGAACTTATCAAGCATATTCGAATGATAGAAAAATAATAATTTATTATATAGTTTCTGAAGAGCTTATCAAACATCCCTGAAGAATCGTAATATAATAATTTATTATATAGTTCTTGAAGAATTTATTAAGCATCCGTGAAGGATAGCAAAATGATAATTTATATATTTTCTAAAGAACTTATAAAGCATATTGTAGCACCCCAAAATTTGCATCATCGTTTCTTGATCAACTGGCTTATGTTTCTTCGCATTTTGCATTTTTTCATATCATGGCATTGGTTTTTGTGACATGGGATCAAGGTGTTTCAATAACTCAATGTTCCCTTT